TCATAAGTGGAAATTCAATTCTGAGAATTCCTCTCTTGTTAGCAGGAGTCAGTGCCAGGTGATGGACAAACACCAGCCCAGCAGCCAGGAGAGCCAGACTTTCTCCTTAACTTCCTGTGTAATTTCAAACAATTACCTTTTCTGGCAGTCTTATTTTCCTCTGCCCACCTTTTGTGTTTTCTAGATACCTGTCATCTGAAAGGACAAGGCCACTTGTTTTGTGCAGAACCTGGAGTAATTAAGCATCAGTTTTAGCTGGGGCTTTTAAGTAGAAGTAATCTCGTAGCAATTTTGCAGCTAAATCAAAATGAAACTAGGATGCTGAAAACCTGTAAAGATCAGATACTTACAGAGTTGCTTTTCTTAAAACACAAAACTAATAAAGATTACTTGTCAATGAAAGAAAAAACAATTGCTGAAAGACAAATCCTCATTTTAAAGATGGAAACAGAGGGATTAACATGCTTGCAACTAAAAAGAGCAATTAAAAATGAAGAAACTTAGCATTAAAGAACCCACAGAAACAAAGTGTCATAAAAGAACTATTTGCATTAAGAGTAGACAGTGATCATGGGGCTTTGGCTGGAATGTCCTTTAGTGAATTATCTTCACACAGGTTCTTGAGGACTGTAGGCTTCCCTGTGTCAGGTAATGTCAAAAAATAAAAAAGTTGGAGGTATTTCAGGAAGTTACAGTGAGAAATGTATTAAGTCTTGGAGCTAAAATCCCCATTTGCAGAAATGCTGTCAAAGCCAGCTGAATTGCTTCTGCCAGTTCCCAGCTGGAGGCCAAGGCTTCAAAGCATCTGAGGACAGAGAGTGTAAGGAAGCTTTAGGAGGAGTCCACCTCTCCTGGAGAGATGCTCTGCACTAAGGTACCTGGGCCTGAACACACAGCTCAAACAGGCTCTAAACCAAACTTCCCCCTACTCTCCTCTGAGAGATTTCTTGATAGTGCTGCTTGTAGCAGCTTGATGAGATCCCCTCCAAAAACTGAAGATACTTATATTTATTTGCTAAGGAGCAGGTTTGGACTAGACTTGTGTGTTTGCAATGCAGGTGCATGGCAACTATGCATTTATTATTTCCTAATCTATTATTCTGAGTGGACAAGTGTGAGTTGGGAGAAGCTGTTTGAAATGAAAGCATTAGGTCAGTTGGAACAATGGAAATGAATGACTTGGAGTTGTCAGCCCACATCCTCATACAGGAGGATGAGAAACTGTCAGGCTTGGAGAGAAATGGATCCCTTCCCAGTGCAGATTCCAGTCTAATAAATTAAAAGGTGAAGAAATTATTCTTCATGTAGCAGATGATTTCAAGCCATCATAAAGTAAACTGATGGCAGAAAGATGCTGGCAATTAGTAGGGGAAATGATCAAAGGATTCCAAGATGTGGTTCTGGAGGTATTTGAGTGCTCTTCCCTCCTGCACAGCTGGAGTCATTAAAACATGAAGTGCAATGTGGAAAACTGGAGGGAGATATGGGGTATGCCCTTAAGGAAAAGGAGATGGGAACTTCTTCAGCACCTTCATAAAAATATCCACATTTGGAGAAAAAATAGAGTGAAGGAAGAAAAGAGCAGATTATTCTGGGGATTAAATTTTGCTGTGCATTTAAGAGGAGGTGACTGCAGTGCATGTTCCTCACTGTTTGGCACCATAGACCTATGTGGTATCTGGCATTTTTCACAGAGACACTGATAATGAATGGTGGATGTTGGTGCTTTGATCACTGACACTTCTTAAAGCATCCCACAAGTGCAAGGGGATGTCCTGCTGTGCTGTGCACAAGTCTTGCTGCAGATCTGTCAGGCTCTCTCTTAAACTCCTGGCATCCTGTAGCTCTCCAGGCCAGCAGCTCCCACCAAAGCTGGAAGCAATCTCCTGTCTTTCCACATGTCTCAAATCTGTGACAGCCAGGAGAACTCCTGAAGCTGCTTGCACAGATCCCAAACCTCCCAGTCTGTTCCCTGGTTTGGACTGAGGCACTGTGCTCCACCCAGGCCAGGGGATGTGCAGTTATGCTCCTACTGATGTTGTGCTCCTCATCATTGGGAATTGTGTTTGTGCATCAGACAACTGCACCAAACTGGCTGAGTTTGGAGTGGGAAAAATACAGGATTTGCCATTAGGAGCTGCAGAGTCCCAAGTCTTCAGCAGTGCAGAGAGTATTATATTCTTGCTGGGTGCAGAGATTTCCTTGTTTATGAGTAGAAGTTTATTCATCCTTTCACTGTCATCCTGGGGTCTCAGGGTGCAGCTCTCAGTGCTGAAGTCAGTGGCAGCACAGCTGGAAGCCAGCTGTGCTCTTCTTCTGTCCCTGAGCCAGATGCTGAGGGACAACCTCCAAGGTGGCTCTACTGATTCCAGGATAAGGATTTTCTGCACTTTTCCCTTGTGAGAGGTGTCCCTGTGCCTGTCTTAGATGAGTTTTTGTGGGCAGAGAGCCACAGTAGGAATGCTTCTGTTCCTTCTTGATTTGGTGAGAGTTCTGTTTAGTTAGGATAAGTTTGTAGACTCTCTAAAGATTCTAAGACAGGAATTGTAGTGCTGTATTTGAAAATGCTGTCTGTATATTTTACAGCTTTGGTTTTTGTCATTCATGCATACAAATGAACATTTTACATATCTCTGGGCATTCCTTGTGCTCTTAGATTTAAAAGCAGGGATGTAGTTGAATGGGACCACCATAAATATGTAACATTTGAATACATAACTATAGAGTCACTAAATAGCTATATATATAATAACTAAGTATCTTTTTATAATACCACATATGTATTGGTGATCTGGATAATTGATTGATAATCAGTTTGCTTCTTTGCTTTTACTTGTGTCTACAACCAATCTCCTCAGAGATAAATCTCAGAAGTGCTGGGGAGGTGGAGGAGGCAGGCACATGCAGAAAGGGAAGGTAGTTTTCACAGAACCATTTTCCTTCCTTTTTATTTCTCTGACAGGTTTTTGATTCCTTCATTTAAGCATTTGAAACACTGACTGGCTGAGGTTTGTAACTGCTGATTAATAATTTATATTCATTATTTTCTAGAGATAAATCTTTTTATTCTGAAAACCAACCAACCATCCAAATACAACTGACTAAAACCTAGAAACACTTTGCAAAAAAAATCCAGTATTTCTCTCAGAAAGAAACATCTAAAGCAAGAAAGTGAAACTCTGTATCTGACTAGAAAGTTCAGTTAAACACTAACCTTGTCAGCCCGCCTTGGCTCTATGTGGTTGAAGTCACTGGGCTCCAGCCCTGAATATTCTCTTATGTGGACTTTGCTTGTGTGACTTTCCTCCTTTGTCCTGGACTAGAACAGGACTCTCCAGGCACAGCTGACTCTGTATGGGCAGAGCTGCAGTCCTGCTCCTGCAGCCCTTTGCCCTTGCTTAGGAAATTCAGTGTTCAGAGAGCAAACAGGTCTGGTACCTGGCCTGCGTGAGTTCTGTGAAGGCCACTCTGGAGTCTCCTTCCTGTGGTACCTCCAAACAACCTGGGATAACTCTCTCCACATTTGCTGTAAAACCGTCCTATGAGCCATGGTTTCATTTCTGGCTAATGCCCACCCGGTACTGTGTTAATATTACCTGTTCCTGTCAGTGGAACATTTCAGAGCCTAGGCATTACAGGAATTACAGCTGAGAGCCCTTGTGGAGAGGGCCAGAGAGTCAGGCCTGGCTGAGCTGGACTCAGTTAAGGCCAAAGGAAAACTATGGTCTAAACCACTTAATTTTGTAGGTGCCTGCGCAGAAATGAGAGCAACCCTCAGACTCCTCTGAACTGTTTGCTGCAATTGTTCTGTTACAGAACTCTGCTGATCTAAACCCAATGCAATACAAAGCTGTGCTGCAATGAAGTGCTGGGAAACATCACTTTGTGCATTATGTAAGCCCAGCATTTCTGGGGCAAAAATAATCTCAGCATTCTTTTTGCAATATTGACCTGTAACAACACCAGCACACCACAGGGATTTTCTTGCCAAGCCCACAGACAGCTCACTAACAAATGAGGAGACTGCCAATACAGCTATACCAATGTCCACACTTTTGTACTGCTATTACGTATTTTCTGTGCCTTGGGTGATGCCAGTTGAGCATCTATTAGGCAGCAGCTATGGATTTTGGTCTTGCTCTTAAGCCCAGCTTAATGTGGTTTCTTGGAGTTTAAGGGACTACCAGGCAATCTGAAAGACAGCACTTGGCATTTACTTGGTTTTGCATTTTCTTCAACTTAACCAACCAAACTCTGCTCTCAAAGTTATCTTAGGGATAGATCCTAAAAATCCCTACTGTGGACAGAAGCTGGTTCTGACTATGAATAATTTCTCCAAGTTTGCTGTCCCAATAGGTTGTGACAGCAAACGTTATAATGGGTATGATTTCTAGTCTCTGAATGACTGTAGCTGTCTGACTTTGTGTTCCTCCATGTACATTCCAAAGTAAATTAAGGAAACTTCTTGTCTCCTTCCTTTAAACTGCGCCTTTAATTGTACAATTTCTCAGCCATGATGGGCATGAACAGTGTTACAAAGTCACACTCTAATTATAACATTCCAGCACAGCTTTTCTTGAGCTGCAGCCCTCGCTCCAAGGGGGCTCTTGGTGGGTTTAATTGTTGAGTGCATTTTTCTCATTATGCATTCTTCCACCCAAGACACTGGACATGCTGCCCTGCTTCTCTGCATGCACGTGGTTTTCTGCCAAAATAGGACCAGTGACACGAGCATAATTGGCTCCTATAATGCTGTATTTCCTTTCCAAAAAACCTTCATGTAATGATTACAAAGGCAGTCATAAAAAGGAGAGCAGAAGGAAGTCAAATGTCAGGAATTGTTTTATTTCAATGACTGGAAGTAATTTTTAGCCACATTTGTTTCACTAGTGAGTGCCAAAATGATATCAATTTTGACTGATGTCAGTGTGCTTCATTTACATGACTGCAAAGCGTGCCAATAATGCAGTTTAAAAAAAAAAAAAAGAGAGATTACTTACGGAGATTGGAATAATTGCTGCCTATCCCAAAACTGATGGAGCTTCCAGAGATGAGAGGAAGATGGAAGAAAATAACTAAAAAAGGAAAAATGAAGAGAAAGGTCATTAATAGCAGTTTGGTTTAGTTTGGTACCAGATGTGAGTTGAAGACATGTTGAGTTAAGGATCACCTGCTCTCTCTGGGCAGGATTGCACATCTGAGACCCCGAGTACACCCACAGAAGTAGCTCGAATGGAGGGGAAATGCCAAACGAACCATTGCTTCATACTTCCAGGAATCCCTCCTGTTCAGGAAATGATATTAGTGTCTCTCAGAATCCAAACCCCACGTATAAACAATGTGTTATATAAATATGCTAATTATTGTTGTTAAGTCATTCACCAGTCTCTGAAACAGGCACCTACCACTGTAAAACCAAATAACTTCCCTGATTTGTGTGAGTGAAGCTTGAATGCATCGGGCGTGTGTGTGCCAAACTGGGTTGGAATAAATTTAGTCTAAAATTTCATACACACACTCCCCCTATGCACTTAGGCTTTAATATTTATAACTTGCTCTTCAAAGATTTATATTTACAGGCAACAAAATGCACACGAGTAAAACGTGTCCTAAATAACCAAATCTTCAGATTTCTTAAAAGATGAGCTCGTTTGCGACTGCAGCCGGATTTAAAGCCCGTTTCCCGAGGGTCGCTCGCTGTGTCACAGACTTCGGCTCGGGGTCTCGGCGCTGCCCTGCCCTGCCCTGCCCGCTGCGCTCCCACCGCGGGCACGGCCGGGGAGGGGCTGCTCCCTTTTCGGGAGGGGACCCGGCCCACACAAAGTTTCGGGCAGAGTCCCTTGGGCTGCGGGATCCCCGTACCCGCGGCAGGGCGGCAACCCACGGGCTCCCGCGGCTCCTCAGAGCCTGCCCCAGCTGAGATCGGCTCCCCAGAGCCTGCCCCAGGTGAGATCGGCCCCTCAGAGCCTGCCCCGGCTGAGATCGGTCCCTCAGAGATTGCCCCGGGTGAGATCGGCTCCTCAGAACCTGCCCCGGCCGGGTGAGATCGGCCCCTCAGAGCCTGCCCCGGGTGAGATCGGTCCCTCAGAGCCTGCCCCGGCTGAAATCGGTCCCTCAGAGCCTGCCCCGGGTGAGATCGGCCCCTCAGAGCCTGCCCCGGCTGGAATCGGTCCCTCAGAGCTTGCCCCGG